GAGCCAAATGTGTCAGAGGCCACAGCATCAGGTACAGGACATCACACCCATCTACACCTCAACCACCTCTCTTACCCCTAAAGTGGCATCAGTTCCAACACTGGTATTTGTGATTTTTTGGAACAACTGGAGGCAATTCAAAGCTTAATAAAATATTATTTTAATTGTATTGTCTTTTAATATTAAACATATAAAAAGACAAACAAAACATTTACATAATGGATTGCAAGCCAATGCCCATGGTACCTTAAGCATTATTTTAATAAAAAGGGTTGTCACTATCAAGACCTGACGCTCCATTTGCCTAAAACCCACTCCGCCCCCTAACCCAGGTTTCACTGGCTCAGTTCCTTAGAAACAACATGTACTTCACCTCTCTCGCCCACGATATGAAAAAGCTTGAGGAAATCTGTTATCGGCGTAGTGATGTTCTTCTACACTTTTGCACTTGTAAAATCACAAATGTGATTTAAATCTGTAAAGTAATTTCTGTTAGATCGTTGAAGATGGATTTCTGCAAGATGTATTAACATTTGCGTAAATGCATTAAATCGTACAACGACGGTCCTATTCAGGGACACGGCTACGTTTTTTTTTTTTTTTACTGAGGAAGTGCCATCAATCATTGCGAGTTTCCCATGTTTACAGGACTCACCAATCGGTATAACAATCTGCAAGCTATATGGAAATGTCATGAGTACTGCAGAAAATTGGAAGACCAGGTGAACATAAAGACCAGAGCCCATACATTTCCTCAGTCGTTACCATCTCCTGATTATTAGATTAGGTATACTACTACACCTTGGACACAATGTCTACGCAAGTCTGAATTCAGGATGATCACAGAATGTCAATATGCTAGTCAAATGCATGCATTACCAATACCATTTGAGACATTTTAGGAATTCAGAACACACAGTTCTATAAAAACAGACAAATGCCATCTCTACAGTACAGATTTAAAACAGGGACTATCCTGGGGTGAGGAATCTAATGACCAGGAAAGTAAATAAAAGTGAGAGGATATTTAAACTCATATCAACCCTGTAGCCCAATTCTCTCAACAACTGTTGATACCCAAAAGACTAACTGTTTATTACAATTTTAACCGTGCCTGTGGAAAAAGCTCCTCTGAAGCAGCTATTACTGATGTAGAGAGGACATTTATCTAGGATCTACAGTGGGGGAAAAAAGTATTTAGTCAGCCACCAATTGTGCAAGTTCTCCCACTTAAAAAGATGAGAGGCCTGTAATTTTAATCATAGGTACACGTCAACTATGACAGACAAATTGAGAATTTTTTTCTCCAGAAAATCACATTGTAGGATTTTTAATGAATTATTTGCAAATTATGGTGGAAAATAAGTATTTGGTCAATAACAAAAGTTTCTCAATACTTTGTTATATACCCTTTGTTGGCAATGACACAGGTCAAACGTTTTCTGTAAGTCTTCACAAGGTTTTCACACACTGTTGCTGGTATTTTGGCCCATTCCTCCATGCAGATCTCCTCTAGAGCAGTGATGTTTTGGGGCTGTCGCTGGGCAACACAGACTTTCAATTCCCTCCAAAGATTTTCTATGGGGTTGAGATCTGTAGACTGGCTAGGCCACTCCAGGACCTTGAAATGCTTCTTACGAAGCCACTCCTTCGTTGCCCGGGCGGTGTGTTTGGGATCATTGTCATGCTGAAAGACCCAGCCACGTTTCATCTTCAATGCCCTTGCTGATGGAAGGAGGTTTTCACTCAAAATCTCACGATACATGGCCCCATTCATTCTTTCCTTTACACGGATCAGTCGTCCTGGTCCCTTTGCAGAAAAACAGCCCCAAAGCATGATGTTTCCACCCCCATGCTTCACAGTAGGTATGGTGTTCTTTGGATGCAACTCAGCATTCTTTGTCCTCCAAACACGACGAGTTGAGTTTTTACCAAAAAGTTCTATTTTGGTTTCATCTGACCATATGACATTCTCCCAATCCTCTTCTGGATCATCCAAATGCACTCTAGCAAACTTCAGACGGGCCTGGACATGTACTGGCTTAAGCAGGGGGACACGTCTGGCACTGCAGGATTTGAGTCCCTGGCGGCGTAGTGTGTTACTGATGGTAGGCTTTGTTACTTTGGTCCCAGCTCTCTGCAGGTCATTCACTAGGTACCCCCGTGTGGTTCTAGGATTTTTGCTCACCGTTCTTGTGATCATTTTGACCCCACGGGGTGAGATCTTGCGTGGAGCCCCAGATCGAGGGAGATTATCAGTGGTCTTGTATGTCTTCCATTTCCTAATAATTGCTCCCACACTTGATTTCTTCAAACCAAGCTGCTTACCTATTGCAGATTCAGTCTTCCCAGCCTGGTGCAGGTCTACAATTTTGTTTCTGGTGTCCTTTGACAGCTCTTTGGTCTTGGCCATAGTGGAGTTTGGAGTGTGACTGTTTGAGGTTGTGGACAGGTGTCTTTTATACTGATAACAAGTTCAAACAGTTGCCATTAATATAGGTAACACGTGGAGGACAGAGGAGCCTCTTAAAGAAGAAGTTACAGGTCTGTGAGAGCCAGAAATCTTGCTTGTTTGTAGGTGACCAAATACTTATTTTCCACCATAATTTGCAAATAAATTCATAAAAAATCCTACAATGTGATTTTCTGGATTTTTTTCTTCTCAATTTGTCTGTCATAGTTTACGTGTACCTATGATGAAAATTACAGGCCTCTCTCATCTTTTTAAGTGGGAGAACATGCACAATTGGTGGCTGACTAAATACTTTTTTCCCCCACTGTATGTGATAATAAATGCTGATTTCTGAGGGTAATATCATTGAACTGGGAGGAGACAGAATGTGTAATTGGTTAGAACTGCTAAGTTTACTCAGAGGAAAAGGAATGGAACCTGTCTAACAATGGCAGTGCTTTGAGCCTCAATCATTCAATCTGCCACAAAAAGTCCAAGCTTCGTAAGTGTTCTGCTATCCCTTACTGGAAACATGTACAGATAAGAGCCATATATAAATGGCTCTGGTAAAGCACTCTCTCCATTGCCACATATGTACATTTTAATACAAACTGCCATTCAAATAAAACAAAGATGTGAAGCAATCAATTAGCAATAAATAAAATACTTAAGACGAAGAAAATTAAGTCAAAAAGGATGTCGACACTCACAAATTAATCCCATCCCACATCTGAAGATACATCCCTCTTCAAGTCCTCCACTCCAGGGAAAAGAAAAAAGTTAATGACGGTCTCAAATAATGTATTTACTTACTGGGCCTTCCTGTGTAGACCAGCTCAACTAGCCAAACAACTGTGGGCTCCAGCCTCCACCAATCTTAACTCAAAACAAAAAGGCACCCAACTCAGACATAACAACAAGCGATAACTGACCCAAATCTGCTTTGGCACAATTGCCTCAACATGGTTTTGACCAGTTTTGTGTGGATACTAATATTTGTGACATGATCATTATTTTAGTTAGAGCCTTGTTCAGTAAAAAATTCTCAGCAAACTTAAAACAAAAAGAAAAACTCTAGTCCAGTTCAAAATCCTGCAAAGCTCTCAGGATATCAGGGGAAGATTGAATGGAGCAGTAGTCAGTCTTTAGACTATCCAACTGTTGAAAACTGACATTAAATAGGCAAGTGAAAAGAATCCATCCTGCATTTGTTTCCTTGATCAATATGAACAACACTGGCAAAACAGAACATTGGGAAGAATCTGAAAAGAGTATGTTCCAAAACCTCAAATGATAACTGCTTGTTTTTGCAAATGCGCCACAAAGACAATTGCTTGTCATATGAATTCATACAGGTGAAAAAAATAATAAAAATAAATAAAAAAATTCAGCCAACAAATAAAATCATAGATTTCCATGCAGTGGGGAGTACATACAAGAACTTGTCAAAGATACAGCATTCCTGGGTCGTATTCAGTAGGCACAAATCGGAACAAAAATGCCCTAATGGAGTTAAACAGGGAGGCACCAACTGTACTTGTCCAATAAGAAATGCTCATTTTCCGTTACAAACCATTAAAAAAATGTTTTGCTAAGTCTGCCTTAATGAACACGACCCTGCTTCCCAGAACCCTTTCCTTAGAAAGGCCATACATAAACTGTTTGGAAAAGTGAGGCGAGTGAGCGAAAGAAAATAATACAAAAGTAGACCCTCTTGTTAAAATACTATAGCAACCTTAGTTCAGGTGCTACTCTCTCTGGTCAAGTAAGTTTGCTGTGTATGACTGAGGTAGGTTTGTCAGCATCTAAAGACAAAATAAAAATGGGGGTAGTATCAAACCAAAGGTTTTTAGGGATTTTCAAATCGGACTTAAAAAAACAACTCATTTTTAAACACTGTTAGAGCAAATTTTTTGTCTTCATTGTCTGAATAAATTAAACAGAAAGAAAAAGTAGGGGTGTTGTTCAATTCCATCATATTCCAGAAAAATCTAGTCTGTGGCTCGTGTCCCAAATTCTTCATATAAGTTATTTTGAACTCTTACCACTGAAATACGGAGGAGGCTCCATATCTCCCACTTCCTGCGATCACAGAAAGTGGCAAAATTCTGAGACGCAAACACCAAATGCTTGTGGCTTTGAGAGCCTTAAGTTCAAGTCAAATACAAAGTACAAGATGGAGAGGGGGGGGGGGGGGGAATAGTTTGGGAGGTTACTCTTTTCAATTGTCTTTATGATGGAGGATACAGGATTTGAATGCTGGGAGGGGGAGGGCCACAATTGTTAGGGAGCTGTTTTTTTCCCAGTGGTGTATTGAGGAAGCCTAACCACTCCAGAGGTTGACAGTATGTGTCTGTGTGTGTGAATATATGCCAGAGTAGAGAGGGCGGGCGGGGGATGTAGTAGGGACTAATGATTTCCTGTCCTCCAATCTAGCCCAACCCTCTTTCCCAGTCTGTGGGGTCAGTCCGCCAGTCAGTAGGCTGTTACCAGGTCCTTGTCATAGTCATATCGGCCCCTCTTGGGGGCGGGGCTGTCCTGGCTGTCCTCAGTGTCGTCGCTGTCTCCTCCAGCCCCTCCCCCCCCCCTCCTCCTCCTCCTCCTCCTCCTCCTCAGAGTCCAGAGTCAGATCAACCACCACTCCTCCTCCCGCCCCCCCCGCCGTGGACCCAGCTCCTGACTTCCCCGTTTGGCTGGTGCTGCTGTGGGCCGGGGAGTGGCCATTCGCCTCAGGAACACCTGGGAGGAGGGAGCAGGTTCACACACTATTACAAACCAATAGCATTCTTTACAAAACAGACAGAGATGACCTACGCAGCGTGGCGTCTTAAATTAACTTTAGAAATCAAAACGTTCGTTTGCAACAGCTGTAAAGGCAATATTTGACATGCACTTACATATATCCAGAACAGGGTAGTCAGGCGTGTTGCTCCGTTCCCTCTCCCCGTCCCTCTCCTTCTCATCTCGGATGGGTCTCCATGAACCGTCAGTCAGATATTCAATCTCCTCGATATCCTCATGGGTCTCTTTTAAGATCTCAGATGCCAGCCTGGAACATGAGACAAACAGTCCGTCAGTACATATCATACCAGGACACACAAGCAGGGATCGATCAGATGTGTCCCACAACACTCATTATCAACTCTCAAATCTTAGATAGGAAGTTTGTAGAAATGGTTTGATTAGGTCTACTATTCTACTCTGTTCCACAATAGAACAGGGAGACAACAGCCGTATTGAAAATGGAGCCCAGTGTAGGTAGGCCATTGCAAGTTAACAGGAGTCTACAAATTGCTCCAAAAATGCAAATGTTTGTTTCCAAGGTTGAACAAGCAATGACTCATGCAAAGAGGAAGCGTGGTTCTCAAATTCCTGCAGAGTGAATGGTAGTGGTGCTGCTGTTAAGTGTCAAGCCTCAGCATGCCTTACTTACCCATCGATGGTGAGCAGCTCAAAGGGAGCCTGTTTGTCACACACAGGGCAGGTCCACGTGGGCTTCTTCTCATTCATTTGCAGGAAGAAGATGGCGTCAAAACACTGCAGGTGGGCACAGGTGAGCACCCGACACGGCACGCCTATCCGCATCTTCACCAGCTGAGAGGAGGAGGAAAGGGAGATATGTCATTAGTATTAATCTGTAGACAAATGGTGGGTTGTAGCCTGTTCGTCGTGTTGTGATTTTTCTATGTTTTGGTCAGTAACAACTGAAAGGTTTGTGACTTCCTCTCTAATAAGAAATCAAAGCATGACTGGGTGGATATGGATTAGGGTGTGAGCGCAGATACTCACAGGACAGATGAGGGACACCCGTAGCCCTGTGGTAGCGATCTCGCTCTCTGGATCAAAGCGTAGCTTGTCCTGGACTGGACAGAGCAGAGAGAAACTAGTTCAACATCACACTGCATTATGCGGTGAATGTTACTAAAATGCATGAAGCATGAAAAACAGGGAGAAAGAGAAAAATGTCGAGGCCACTTACTGCGTTCACGACAGCGTTCTGCACTCTCCACTGAGCAGTGTTTGAGTTGGCTGAAGAGCTCTGCTGATGTGAAGACCCTCACTAAATACACTGCCACCGAGTAGCGCTGCACACAGAATGAGAGGAGTGAGCACTGAGCGGAATGAACACTAGAAAGCAGTAGATATCTGCTTTCTAAGCAGTATAACAGCTACAGAAAACAAACCACACCATTTCAAATATTTGTAATGGAAATGAATCAAAACAAGTTTGGAATACAGCAGCGAGGTTTAAAATAACAGAACAAAATGTCAACCAGAGACTGACCTTCCCAAATTTGCCCCATGTGACGGTGACCCGGTTGGTGGCAGTGGAGAGCTGTAACCAGGGTGTGATGTTGACTGGGCGACAGGGCCGACGCGGCTCCACACCTGGCTTATTAGAAGGGTAGTAACCCTGTACAGAACAAATAGACATGTTAAGCCTCTAAGATATAGGCTTAGGCATTTTCTTCTGATTAGTTAGTTGGTTTGTATGCCTGATGGCATCGGATTCCCCATCTTGACTACTCACTGGTACATGACAGTAAGACTGGTTGACTTTGACAGCAATATTGGGAGGGTACTGATCTTCCTGGACACCAATGGAGTCTGTGTAACAGATTCTGTAAAGGATCATAGAAACAGCATAGGAGGTTATCATTGGTTATGTTATATCCTCACATGGTCTCTCCTATCATTGCTACGCAGACGACACACAATTAATTTTCTCCTTTCCCCCTTCTGATAACCAGGTGGCGAATCGCATCTCTGCAATGTCTGGCAGACATATCAGTGTGGATGTCGGATCACCACCTCAAGCTGAACCTCGGCAAGACTGAGCTGCTCTTCCTCCCGGGGAAGGACTGCCCGCTCCATGATCTCGCCATCACGGTTGACAACTCCATTGTGTCCTCCTCACAGAGTGCAAAGAACCTTGGCGTAACCTGGACAACACCCAGTCGTTCTCTGCTAACATCAAAGCCCGATCCTGTAGGTTCATGCTCTACAACATTCGCAGAGTACGACCCTACCTTACACAGAAAGCAGCACAGGTCCTAATCCAGGCACTTGTCATCTCCAGTCTGGATTACTGCAACTCGCTGTTGGCTGGGCTCCCTGCCTGTGCCATTAAACCCCTACAACTTATCCAGAACGCTGCAGCCCGTCTGCTGTTCAACCTTCCCAAGTTCTCTCATGTCACCCCGCTCCTCCGCACACTCCACTGGCTTCCAGTTGAAGCTCGCATCTACTACAAGACCATGGTGCTTGCCTACGGAGCTGTGAGGGGAACGGCACCTCCTTACCTTCAGGCTCCGATCAGACCCTACACCCAAACGAGGGCATTATGTTCATCCACCTCTGGCCTGCTAGCCCCCCTACCTCTACGGAAGCACAGTTCCCGCTCAGCCCAGTCAAAGCTATTCGCTGCTCTGGCACCCCAATGGTGGAACAAGCTCCCCCACGACGCCAGGACAGCGGAGTCACTGACCACCTTCCGGAGACACTTGAAACCCTACCTCTTTAAGAAATACCTGGAATAGTACAGTGAGTGAAAAAAGTATTTGATCCCCTGCTGATTTTGTACGTTTGCCCACTGACAAAGAAATGATCAGTCTATAATTTTAATGGTAGGTTTATTTGAACAGTGAGAGACAGAACAACAACAACAAAAACCAGAAAAACGCATGACAAAAATGTTATAAATTGATTTGCATTTTAATGAGGGAAATAAGTATTTGACTCCCTCTCAATAAGAAAGATTTCTGGCTCCCAGGTGTATTTTATACAGGTAGTGAGCTGAGATTAGGAGCACACTCTTAAAGGGAGTGCTCCTAATCTCAGCTTGTTACCTGTATAAAAGACACCTGTCCACAGAAGCAATCAATCAATCAGATTCCAAAACTCTCCACCATGGCCAAGACCAAAGAGCTCTCCAAGGATGTCAGGGACAAGATTGTAGACCTACACAAGGCTGGAATGGGCTACAAGACCATCGCCAAGCAGCTTGGTGAGAAGGTGACAACAGTTGGTGCGATTATTCACAAATGGAAGAAACACAAAAGAACTGTCAATCTCCCTCAGCCTGGGGCTCCATGCAAGATCTCACCTCGTGGAGTTGCAATGATCATGAGAACGGTGAGGAATCATCCCAGAACTACATGGGAGGATCTTGTCAATGATCTCAAGGCAGCTGGGACCATAGTCACCAAGAAAACAATTGGTAACACAATACGCCGTGAAGGACTGAAATCCTGCAGCGCCCGCAAGGCCCCCCTGCTCAAGAAAGCACATATACATGCCCGTCTGAAGTTTGCCAATGAACATCTGAATGATTCAGAGGAGAACTGGGTGAAAGTGTTGTGGTCAGATGAAACCAAAATGGAGCTCTTTGGCATCAACTCAATGTGTTTGGAGGAGGAGGAATGCTGCCTATGACCCCAAGAACACCATCCCCACCGTCAAACATGGAGGTGGAAACATTATGCTTTGGGGGTGTTTTTCTGCTAAGGGGACAGGACAACTTCACCGCATCAAAGGGACGATGGACGGGCCATATACCGTCAAATATTGTGTGAGAACCTCCTTCCCTCAGCCAGGGCATTGAAAAGGGGTCATGGATGGGTATTCCAGCATGACAATGACCCAAAACACACGGCCAAGGCAACAAAGGAGTGGCTCAAGAAGAAGAACATTAAGGTCCTGGAGTGGCCTAGCCAGTCTCCAGACCTTAATCCCATAGAAAATCTGTGGAGGGAGCTGAAGGTTCGAGTTGCCAAACGTCAGCCTCAAAACCTTAATGACTTGAAGAAGATCTGCAAAGAGGAGTGGGACAAAATCCCTCCTGAGATGTGTGCAAACCTGGTGGCCAACTACAAGAAACGTCTGACCTCTGTGATTGCCAACAAGGGTTTTGCCACCATGTACTAAGTCATGTTTTGCAGAGGGGTCAAATACTTATTTCCCTCATTAAAATGCAAATCAATTTATAACATTTTTGACATGCGTTTTTCTGGATTTGTTTGTTGTTATTCTGTCTCTCACTGTTCAAATAAACCTACCATTAAAATTATAGACTGATCATTTCTTTGTCAGTGGGCAAATGTACAAAATCAGCAGGGGATCAAATACTTTTTACCCCTCACTGTATAACAGTAATCCTTCTATCATGCTGCAAATGCAGTAGAAATGCTAAGATGCACATTTTTGATAGAATAACCATCATCTCAAAGTAAAATTGCAGTCACGCTATGCTTTGTTGTGTGGTTCTCCCACGACTTGGAAAAGCATGCACACTGCACAGTTTATTAGGCTACAGATGAAATAGTTATGAACTTCACAGGGTTGTGAAAGTGCACAGGGATGATCTTGATGCTCCTTTCCGGTAAATATTGAGGGTCTTAGTTTGATGCTAGTGACATGACGATCAATGCTTGGCTGTCAATTGACAAATAAAAATGATCTTGCTCTTCTCCATAACCTCATCATGAAGCCTACCCTCTGCTCTGTATCTGCGATCTGTTGGCTAGAGCGCACACGCTAAGAACAGTGGGCACATTTTCTGTTTGTTGCAGACTTTTTGTGCCAAAACCAACGGCAGTTAAAAATGGGATGGAAACACACTGTCCTTGTTTTTTATTTGGTAAATGAGAAGTTATACGACAAAGTGCTTTTTATGTGCAATACATCATTACGCACAGCTTTTAATTAACAAGAAGACAGTTTGATGGAAATAGACCACTGCTGGTAAAATATGCATATTTTAAACAAATATTCGCATGAAAATCTTTTTACAAATTGATGGAAACCTAGCTACTGATATAGCATAGGCTATAACTGCATACTTGATTGGGCAAATCAACTGTATGTCCCTAACATGTATATATGTATCAACTATATGCAATATGCTAACTACCTATGCAATTATATTAACAGTGGGATTGGGGTGCTGCTGTGTGTAAAACAGTTGAGAACTCTTAACTCACCTAAGGACCACCTGGATTGCCTTCATTCCTGGTCGAAGCTCACTGAAACAACAAGGGAGGGGAAAATGATGGTACCCTCAGTGCTCATTAAAAGTCACAAGCAGTAGAATAGACAGTTAACTTTTAATAAAAGTGTTATACTCACGTTGAGTTTCTGACTTGGTCCGCTTGGCTCTGTGTTAACTCAAATACGCATTGACTGTCCTGCAGTTTCTCACTGTTCTGGGCAACTACAAGGACAGGTGCAGAAAAAAAAGAAGATCAAACACATTGCACAACATCACTATGCTTTGTAATGTCCAAAATGTCCTTAGCATTTTTCATTGTAATGCCATGGCAGGTTTCTGTCATTAAAGTGCATTCGGGAAGGATTCAGACCCCTTGACTTTTTCCACATTTTGTTACGTTACAGCCTTATTCTAAAATTGATAATACATTTGTGTCCTCATCAATCTACACACAATACCCCATAATGACAAAACTAAAACAGGTTTTTAGAAATGTTTGCAAATGTATTAAACATAAAATATAAATACCTTATTGACATAAGTATTCAGACCCTTTGCTACGAGACTCGAAATTGAGCTCAGGTGCATTGTGTTTCCATTGACCATCCTTGAGATGTTTCTACAACTTGATTGGAGTCCACCTGTGGTAAATTCAATTGATTGGACATGATTTGGAAAGGCACACACCTGTCTATACAAGGTCCCACAGTTGACAGTGCATGTCCGAGCAAAAACCAAGCCATGAGGTCGAAGGAATTGTCCGTAAAGCCCCGAGACAGGATTGTGTCGAGGCACAGATCTGGGGAAGGGTACCAAAACATTTCTGCAGCATTGAAGGTCCCCAACAACACAGTGGCCTCCATCATTCTTAAATGGAAGAAATTTGGAACCACCAAGACTCTTCCTAGAGCTGGCCGCCCGGCCAAACTGAGCAATCGGGGGAGAAGGGCCTTGGTCAGGGAGGTGACCAAGAACCAGATGGCCCCTCTGACAGAGCTCCAGAGTTCCTTTGTGGAGATGAGAGAACCTTCCAGAAGGCCAACCATCTCTGCAGCACTCCACCAATCATGCCTTTATGGTAGAGTGGCCAGACGGAAGCCACTACTCAGTAAAAATAACATCACAGCCCGCTTGGAGTTTGCCAAAAGGGACCTAAAGGACTCAGACCATGAGAAACAAGATTCTCTGGTCTGATGAAACCAAGATTGAACTCTTTGGCCTGAATGCCAAGCGTCACGTCTGGAGGAAACCTGGCACCATCCCTACGGTGAAGCATGGTGGTGGCACCATCATGCTATGGGGATGTTTTTCAGTGGCAGGGAGACTAGTTAGGATCGAGGGAAAGATGAACGGCGCAAAGTACAGATAGATCCTTGATGAAAACCTGCTCCAGAGCGCTCAGGACCTCTGACTGGGGGCAAATGTTCACCTTCCAACAGGACAACGACCCTAAGCACACAGCCAAGACAACGCAGGAGTGGCTTCGGGACAAGTCTCTGAATGTCCTTGAGTGGCCCAGCCAGAGCCCGGACTTGAACCCGATCTAACATCTCTGGACAGACCTGAAAATAGCTGTGCAGCGATGCTCCCCATCCAACCTGACAGAGCTTGAGAGGATCTGCAGAGAAGAATGGGTGAAACTCTCCAAATACAGGTGTGCCAAGCTTGTAGCTTCATACCCAAGTAGACTCGAGGCTGTAATCGATGCCTACGGTGCTTCAACAAAGTACTGAGTAAAGGGTCTGAATACTTATGTAAATGTAATATTTCTGGGGTTTTGTATTTAATAAATTTCTAAAAAACATTTTTTGCTTTGTCATTATGGGGTATTGTGTGTAGATTGAGGATTATTATTATTTGTAATCAATTTTAGAATAAGGCTGTAATGTAACAAAATGTGGAAAAAGTCAAGGGGTCTGAATACTTTCCGCATGCACTGTATGTGTAGTGCCAGGGCCCGGTTGCCAGGGTTTTTCCTGACCATAAGACCTGACCAGGAAGTATTCTGCTGAGCTTTAGTTATAGGTCGATCAGTAAAAACGTTTGGGCCTCTATACAAGGACATGACTAGCCTGAAATCTCTACATCTCACTGAAGAGAAATCACTCACTCAGCTCCGTTGGCGGCAACAGTGTCTCCAGAGTTTGGTAGAAGGGCAGTGACACCAGCTTGACCTCAGCTGCAGGTGTGGAGGACAGCTTGGGGATGCCGTTGAGGTAGTCTGCGCCCTGTGTGCCCGTGGGCGAGGAGCTGAGGGAGGAGTAGGCCACCGGGACCACCTCCGGGCGCCGGGCAGCCAGCCAACCCGAAGCCTTGGGGAAGCGTGACTCATAGAGCTGCCGCACATTCTTCAGTAGCTCTGGGCTGCACTCTGTTTGCACCAGCCTCAGCGCCCGTCCCACCAGGTCCTGCTTCAGACCACTTTTACTGCGGCCCATGGAGGCCAGCAGCGTCTGCAGGTCAGACACCCGAAAATTCTTTACCATGTTCTGGAGGGAAGACAAAGGAGAAAGAGATAGGAAGAAGAGGGGAGGTTTTGAATGACCATCTTTGGATTCCTTGAGCTAGGCAAGTCCCAATAAGAAAGGTAGCCTATACTACACAAAGAGATGTGCACAGGTGTCTAAAAAAGTTGTTTAAAGTGTACACTCAGATTATTTATTTTTTAACTCGGTTGAAATATTCGTGTTAGTATTTGCTTGGAGCAATATTTCCCCTCCATACCCTCCAGAATTCAGTAACATGACCCCTTTCTGTTCCTAACGCCATGCATATAATATATTTCCTGCAAGCAAAACCTAGACTGGTCCCTTCTTTAACTACTGTAGGATACAACACCGGTGTAGTCGAATACCCAGCAATGCATGTAGCTAGCTATTTAGTTAGGAAATGTATCTTACAAGCTAGCTAGGTAGCTACATCAGTCAATCTCATCAATTGAGTTAATTTCTACAGCTCGTGTGTTAGGCTTACAGTGACATGCTGGCTGTTTTGTTAAGACAGTACGCATGTATAGGGGGACAGAGACATTGAGCAATTGCCTTGTCTGACAACAGAGGCTAGGCTATTGGTTACATAGCTAGCTAGCTAAGCTAACTCCACTTGTTCTGTTGTCACCCCCCAATACTGAAAATAAATCCATGTCAAATGGACAGTGGATGGACTGAATGCTTAATGCAATATCTTGCTTAAACATTGAATGATACAATTAAACGCCGACTCCCTGCTGGCGAATGTTTTTATGGTCTCATCATTAATTTGCCATGTCCCTGCTGTTAGCTAGACGCACTTAGCAGCGCAGGGAAACCAGTTTCAATGTACCAATTAATCAACCATCACTAGGTAGCGAAGTTAAATCATTTTAGACAGTATTCATGAGACACCCTTACAGTTTCCTAGCCTAGCAGCCCATCTCCAACACTACAGCAGCCCCTTTTCTATCAACCCTGGCGAGCGGAGCTCTGCTTACCATTGCTTCCACCAGTTCGGCCGCCATCTTCGTAAAGCAGCCCCGCGAGAGCCAGAACCGAAAGATAGTCCTTCGCCAATGAGAGCAGAGGGGTCGCTGGTCGACGATTCTCTGCTTCCAATCACAGCGCAACTACATTACGAGTTTCAAGGAGTGCGTTGAAAGTAGGCGTGCCAGCATTATTTTAAAGTGACAGTACAACTTTTTTTTAAACACTCAAAGACAGGCCTCACCTCTATGTTAGGCCTCAATTATAAGAAAACATAACCAGCCTCCAAATAGCTGAACGTTGGGGGTTGCTGAGTTTTATACTATCGAGTCAAAGAGAATATGCATTGTGGAAATAATTCAAATTCAACACAAGAGGAAAGCATGACCTGTTAAATGGGGAGAGGCACATGGCCAAATCAACTCCTGTCTGAGTGAAAAACTCCACTTCGGGATTTGCAATGAACTATTAGCTATCAACTATAAATGCTTTGTCTATTTTTAACACAAAATCTAAATAATCACAGGGAGCCAAGTGAAAATGCAGTACACAGATGTTGCGTACTGAAGTCACGTTCTGATAAGAGGTTATACTTGATTATCAATTTGAAAATGCAGTGCATTGAATAAGAGCAGTCACTGCATCGCAGTACTAGCTGTGCCACTAGAGATCCTGGTTCGAATCCAGGCTCTGTCGTAGCCGGCTGCGACCGGGAGACCCATGGGGCGGCGCACAATTGGCCCAGCGTCGTCCAGGGTAGGGGAGGGAATGGCCGGCAGGGATGTAGCTCAGTTGGTAGAGCATGGCGTTTGCAACACCAGGGTTGTGGGTTCGATTCCCATGGGGGGCCAGTATGAAAAAAAGAATGTATGCACTCTAACTGTAAGTCGCTCTGGATAAGAGCGTCTGCTAAATGACTAAAATGTAAATGTAATGCCTTAAATAAATCCAGATTTCACACTCTGCCCTGAATCCATTTCTGGATTTCCAAACTTCTTGATTTGCGCTGAAGAACAGAAATGGTTAAAAATTGATTCATAAAATCTAATTAAAAGATGATATACACTGTCATATATCATCTTTGCATGATTTTACTTTCACCTCAAATTTGCCATAACTTAAGTAAACAATTGGAACAATAAATAGTAGCCTAACTCTGCTCTATGTAGGCCTACTTTCATTTCATCCCTGTGTTTTATTTTTTGCTGTTTGCACAAGTGCTTGCTTGACTGTGGCAAGAGCTCACCGGAACTGAGTACCGGCACCGCAATTGTTCTACTGCTTAAGTTACTGCACCTCTTACAGAATATTAGTGCAAAAGTATTGCAGAGTTCCTGCACCTAAATATAAACAGCACAGGTGTGCTGACACTGTTTCTTTGGACTGATGGCTTCTACGTTGTGACTAGATGGAGAATTAACGTAGCAGGTTAGGATAATTAAAGTAGCAGGTTAGGTGAGTTAATGTAGCAGGTTAGGAGAATTAAAGTACCAGGTTAGGAGAATTAACGTACCAGGTTAGGGAAATTAGGTTAAGGTTGGGAAAAGGGTTATGGTAAGGCTTAGCTAAAATGCAATAGGCCTACTCCATCAAGCCACAACCATAGAAGCCATCAGTTCTGCGAAACCATCAGTGTGTCAACTCACTGGCACAGAAAATGAGTACTGACACCTATTTCAGTCAATTGAAATAGGTTCCCCATTAGCTGTTGCGAAAGCAGCAGCTACTCTTCCTGGGGTCCACACAAAACATGAAACATGACATAATACAGAACATTCATAGACAAGAACAGCTCAAGGACAGAACTACATCTGGTTTGCACACACAAATTCAAGCACAAATTATATTCACGGAACGGTGTCTTGCAATGCCTCCAGTTCTTTAAAATATATCCTCCATATTATAATCAAACAGTGTGGGGTTTGGTTGATAGGCTACAACATGATGTTGGTATTATAATATTTTATATTACGGAATCATTTATATTTAAAGCTGGACTCCTTAGTTGCTACATCAATTTATGGATTTATACATTAATTATACATGGTTCTTGAAGAATATAACTTAAAAATGCCTCATGAGCTTAGTTAAACTGTCATACTCCATCTGAACCCTACAAGCTTGTTTTACTCCAATCTTTGTAAACAATGTAATTGTAAACAACCACTGTATAGCACGTGTCAAACTCATTCCATGGAGGGCCGAATGTCTGTGGGGTTTCGCTCCTCCCTTGTACTTGACTGATGAATGATGGTCACTAATTAAAGAACTCCCCTCACCTGGTTGTCTAGGTCTTAATTGAAAGAAAAAACTAAAACCTGCAGACACTAGGCCCTCCATGGAATGAGTTTGACACCCCTGCTGTATAGCCTCAAAATGTTCATATCATGGATGGTCAGTGCTTGCATCCATAGCTCTGTCTATACATTTGTGAGTGGTTACATTTCTCCAGGTCAATCCCTCAGCTTTTTACCAAAACATAGGTGGATGTAACCGCTTTGTTATTCTTTACATTAAGGATTCTAGCTTGAATTAATGATACATTTTACCACATGGCTCATTCATTCTATTTGGATGGGACTGTACAGGCAGGTTGTAGTAGTAGTTCCACAACTCAGACAGACGAGGGTGATATAGTCCACTGGTGGTTCTTCATTCCTCTCATTCTTGGCCAGTGTGAGATAATTTGTTCTAAAACAGTACTACAACTTAGCTTTGTATTACTGACACTAGGGACATTTCTGGAAAGTAGCACTTTGAGTGTGCTCTCTAACCAAATGAAATGAAATATAATTGAGTATAATACATTTTATAGCAAGATGATGTACAGAACAAAATGCAGTAGCATCATTTCTATACAGAGAACAGGGCTAGGCCTATTGTAGTTTAACACTAGAATAGCACAAGTGCAACACTTGTCGGTGTTATAATAGTTACAAATAGTCAGCAGCATTAAAGCTTTTTACATAGAACAATTAAACATTTCATATTCAGTTTGGAACCTCGCAACCGTGACAAGACCTATGCGAGAAATAGTAGAATAATCGTAAAATAATGAAGTTGAGATAGTTCTGCTCTTGATTCGGCACTCAACATCTGCAACCAAATTATTGAATTTAGATTAAGTAAATCAACTCAAGCAAGGTGGTTCTACTCAGTATAGTTTTAATTAGTATGTCTAGCCTCTTGGCTATTGTCATTGTGCTTCACTGCAAGTTCGAACAGGAAAAAAGTAGTTTGATTTTAGCATATAATTTATGATAAATGATTTATTGTTTTCTAACAGAATGGCTTACAGTAAGCCCAACTCTGATAATGCGCACTATGCAGCGCATCCTCTGTCCGAAAACCATTTAAGTAGGGATAACGCTGTTTAAATGCCTTTTGGTGCTGCTGAAGCACCCTCTGAACACCATGTCCTACTAAATCAGAGTGTTTAATCTCCCGTAATTACAAAGATTTGCTGTGGTTAATCAAATTAATCTGCCTCGATTAGACCCCCTACCTGCGCTTCTCCTGTCTCTATTGCCTCTCACTGTGAAGGATAAATTCACAGACATTTAAATAGTGGTACCCTCACAACTGTGATCCATTCTGATCTAGTGTCCACAAGATACAGTTGAGTAACACTGCATAGATTTTTAAAAAATACCGTTTTTTTCTCTATCAGATCTATTTGGTCTAACAAATTAGATTGTTCTAAACCTATTCAAGCTTTGGCATCACATTGAGTTTGAGTCACCAAACAATTAGAGTAAGTTGGGACGATCCCTTTTAATTGTCCTAACTTGATCTTGTGACCAGAGAGACTTCAGTCATTAACTTACTTACCCAAAGGACATTGAAGAGAGGCATCCTACCTGATGGAGAGCACAGCAGTGTCCTAGACACAAAAAGAAACAAAAACACCTGTGAAAGAAGCTGACAATTGCCTATTGTGGTGGGCATAGGTAATCTACATAGCAAGTATTAGTAACTGCCTTAAAAGTGTAAGAAGGACCATGGAGGACAGAAGCAGCTGCAACAGAGGCCGGGAGCGCTTGGGAATATGCTTCACCATAGACTACCTGCTGTACAACAAGGACAGTAAGTGCATGAGAGAAGAGCAAACTAATCCCCCAGTGGAGCAGACCCCTCATAGCCCACTGGAGGGGCAGAGTCCTGACATCCTCTCAGAGAGGGAACGTATCAAACTTGGGAGCCCTGAGAAGGGGCCAGAAGAAGAAGAGGGGTCAGAGGAGGAGAATGAGGAGGAGGAGGAGATCAAAGGGGGAAAAGACCAAGAGGCAACCACTACAGACAGCCCACAGGACAAGCCTTCCCAGTCCTACATCTCCCTTATCTCCATGGCCATACTTGCTTCAGAGGAGAAGAAGCTCTTGCTGTGTGACATCTACCAGTGGATCATGGATAACTACCCCTACTTCAAGAGCAAGGTATGTCCAAGTGATTCATTTCAGGGTTCATTTCAAGTTGAGAATTTGTCTGAATTAGGGTTGGGGTCAGTTTCATTTCAATTCAGGAGATACAGTACATTCCAATTCCAATTCAATAATTGAAAAGAGTGCAATTTATTTTGAAAGCAGATTTTTTCTATTCTTGAAATGCAATTTCAACTCACTTCTTATATGGACTGAATTTAATTGAAATTGACAACTCCCTGTATAGTCAATAGCCAATTACTGATATTCCTATCAATTTAACTGAATAACAGTAGACAAGATACTCATGAGAAAAACCTTTGCAAAGCTCTTTGATCAAGCAATGACTAGTGTGTGGAAAGTTTCCAAAACTTAAAGTACTATTTGGGACATTACACACATCCTCTACTGTAGTCAAAAGGCAGCATCTGAAAATAAAGAGCTTGAAAAAAGTATATCTATAATTTTAAATGTTCACTATATTCCTATTGTGAACTGTTGAAACAGGGTGGTCTGATTCAGTAATAAGTATAATTACTGCATGCAGGACCCTGGCTCGGCTGGTCCTGTTGTTGCATGGAAGGTCTAAGTAATCTCAAGGCTATAGGTAAACCTGTTGATAGCCGCAACTGGCTAAAAACTAAAACTAGGTCTTTAACAGGTGTAACAACAGGTTTACCTCATAGGATTGGGGGAGTTTGACAAGGTGAATGTGGTGGTTTCGTCTGGCAGCCAACTCAAACAAACTTGACCAAAGGTCACCGTGGACCCTTCACATGAACTTGGCACCAATTAAATGAAAGCAAGGGCAAATTGCCATATTCTCAGTACAGTGTATCAATGCATATACTGGGGATTCAGCCGTGAGGTAAAACGATTATTGGTTTCTAATAAATGAGGACAAGGATGATATGTTGAACAGTTTCTGTTCCAGGGCCACATACAACACTTAATTCATTACTCACCTTTATACTTCATGTCTCATATGTCAACTTTATTGTTGTTCTACAGGATAAGAACTGGAGGAACAGCGTCAGACACAACCTGTCCCTGAATGAGTGCTTTGTGAAGGCTGGTCGGAGTGACAATGGTAAAGGCCATTTCTGGGCCATCCACCCCGCTAACTTCCAGGACTTCTCCAATGGGGACTACCATCGGCGCCGGGCTCGCCGCAGGATCCGCAGGGTGACAGGACAGCTCCCCTACACCCTGCACACACCCTATTACCCCCTCCATAGGCCCAGGGGGGTGTCGTGCTGGTGCTGTCCCCCAGCCCACCCTCTCTCCGCGGCCCACCCTCTGTCCTACCTCTCAGCCAGGATGTATTGGAGCTGGCCCAGCCTGCAGGCCAGACGACACCCAACCACGCTCCGGTTCAATAGAACCACATAGAATTGGATGCGTGTTGGATGTTGGCCTGTTCTTTGTATGACAGATGGCTGAGAGAGATGTATTGAGTATGATTGTGAAATCTGTGGCTGGCTGGCACAAATAAGAGTACCAAAGCACCAAAGTACGATATTGCACTATTTATTGTTTGAAACGTAATACACCAGATTTGTACTGTAATATTATACATGTATATTGCATTTGATTAATTCTGTATATGAAGAAAATTAATTGTAAATATATTGATGAACATATTGCAATATTTTATATATCTGCACAATTTCAAATAAATAAACAAAAAACTCACCCAGCAATGTGTCACTGATTTCTGTCAGACGAGAAAAGGCTTACACTGAATTATAACTTTTTAAATTAATAAATAAAGCACCATATAGTAACAAATCTGTACAGAATAATGTACCATACAGATGACTGTTCTGAGAAGACATTTGGTACACTGGGTAGTACAGTTCATCAATTGTGCATGTGCATGTGTGTGTGTGTGTGCGTGCATGTGTGCGTGAGTGTGAATACCTTTGTGTGTCTCTGTGTCTTTTTGTGTGCCTGTGTGTTCATGTGTGTGGTTGTATGTGGTTGTGTGTTCCTAATTGTGTCCGTGTGTGGTTGTGTGTGGTTGTGTGTCGATACAGGGTGTTAAAAGTGAGCCCATGCTAATTAGTCAGAGCTGCCAGGATTCCAAATCTTGTGCTGTAAGAGAGACTAAAGCAGGCTTCCCAAAGCCGACTCCGGGGATAAGCACCTGGATAATCCTAGAGATCCTAAGGAGTTTCGGAAAAAATAATCTGTAATCTGTAACCGCTCCTGTGGTGAGGAGACACTGCGGGTGGTGAGGGAAGGGGGAGGGAGGTGAGGGAAGGAGGGAGGGATGGAGATGAGAGGGGGGAGGGGGAGTGGATGTCATGAAGAGGGGGAGGTGCAGGTAGAAGAGTGAGCATGTAGAGGGGGAGGTGCAGTTGGAGGAGTGTGCGTGGAGAGGCCAAGAGGACAAGGCCATTGTGAAAGTCATCACAGGCAACAACAAGTAGAAGGTATACAGGTCCAATCAAACCCAACAGTCAATCAAACTCAACTGGAAATGTGAAAGAAATATGATACAGTATACAATAATAATGATCTTTATACAGGTCTGAAAATGGCTAGGGAACTGGCACCATATTTCTTTCCCAAAGGGCAAAACATGTTGAAATATGCAGCAGCATGGTCAGAAAAGAATATCTGGTGAATACAACAAGATTAAAAATAAAAGTCAATCATCAGCTGTCAGTTATTCCATTAATAGGAAATTCCTATGTGATTTCCAAAGGTTGACATTTAAATTCACAGTACTTGAGTTGTTTTTTTGAGTGGATTATGCAGCTTGTTTATTGCAAGTCATATAAGTTTTTTTGTCTACCAATTACTGAACATTCGGATAAAGCAATACATCTGACATGTAGATTAGATTACATTATAAAAAGAAAATATAATTAATCTATTTATGGGAAAAGGCAAAAATACAAGAGACAATCATTTCAAAACCCAATTTCCCTCTATGTTTATTAGAGCGATAACAAATCCATCTAATTAATTTTTGTTTACCAAATCTCTCGATTCATTGCGGACAAGCTAATTAGACCACTAATTTGTTTAATTCCCATGAATTGCACTCTGCATTAAATCCTCATCAATTTGCAAGCTTTAGGGCTTTAATTCTGTTGCATATGTTTGCCGCATGCTGGCAGGAAACAAGGCATTGAACAGGTTGCATCCACCACACACACACGCATGCATACACACACACACACAAACACACACACACACACACACACACACACACACACACACACACACACACACACACACACACACACACACACACACACACACACACACACACTGTTACCTATTTGGTGGTTGTGATGAGGACCACAGTGTCAAGGTGTAAGGTTGTAGTTTACAGTAAAATGAACAATGGGAGAACTATCAGACTATGTAGATCCCTGTGAATGACTTTAACATGACACAAGACACAAGTTGTCAAGTTGTTACACTTTTAGTGATGATTAATCCAAAATAGCATAATTGAAGGTTAAAATAAATGTTGGGAATACTCAAGCAATGTGCTATATTCTTTCGGCCTCTGACATTGTAGACGTGCCATGCATTTTAGGAATATGTGAATTGTCCATCGTCAAGACACCTGACATCTCAATTTACCAAATAACCTCTCCATTCAAAGAATGGTGGTCAGAAGTTAAAAGTGTTTAAGATGACTGACGCTGTCAGTGTGTGGTACACTTTAGCCCCAGCTTGTAAGGCCATTGCAGAGAGAGGCATGTCAGGTTGTGTGCTTTATCTTCTTAATCTAATAGGATAGGCGGAAGGGTGCAGGGGGCCTGAGATTACTGTCCACAACTTGTGCCTGATTAACAGATCTGAGAGTGAGGTAAGAAGATGAGTCCTGCTGTGATGATGATGAAAACTTATGGCCATGTTTTAGTACATTAGTACATTACAGCATTCCAAAGCTAGTTTCATAGCTCTGTTGTAGTATCTCTTAGATTGACTATGGCTCAACACAAGACACAATATTGACAAATGTTGACTAAACATTGGCTGATGTCTGATTCCACAGAGCATCTGTAGAAAATGACATAAAGCTGGGGGTTTTATGTGACTGACATTTGATAAGACAGGAAGCACAACAGCACCACCAAAACTAGAACTATAAACATTATTATTTCAATAAACATGCCAAATGTGTTCGATTATTTGAATTAGTCAATCCTTACATGACCCAAATTTAGCCAAGGTTTAACTTGGTTTAATGACCTAGGTTATAACAACTAGGTTAACTAAATTCTTAACAGAATACGTCTGTGTACTTTTTGTTATTTTGATTTCCCAGTCAAAACGGAGTGTGGAAAATTTGTTTCTGAAATCGACTTGTTTTCTCATTTATTGTGTCAAAATTGGACATGGAATAACAGAAAACAAACAACAACAAAATGTATTCATTTTTTTTTTATACCTGGAAGTACACGCCCCCTCATAGAATATTCACAGGGTTTCACCAGAAAGAAAGGATTAGACTGTGTGAGTGTGACTGGAAGATAAAAATACTCATGTTAGATAAGATGACTCAACAACAATTGAACAAAGTTGGCTTGCACTAGCTAGCACTAGCTGGCTACAGAATAGCTAGCAGGCTGGCAAGCTAGCGCTACTTGGTTACTGGCTATAGTCATGCTAGCTAGTAGTAGCTAATGGAAGTAAGTTAGTCCCTCAACCTGCTACAAGATTAACTGCCCGGCCAGAGCTACCTGCTGCAGAAAGGTCAGATTTCTCCATTACTTTCTGTAGCTAACTTAGCTCTATCTTCTGTTGGCTAATGGTGTTTATTGACTAAGTAATAATGAACTGCAGTTACTGTAAATAGTTACCATTCTGGGGGGGGGGGGGGGGGGGGGGGTCTGTTTGTGTCTGTGTGAGAGTTCTTAATGTCCCCGTAGGAGAAAAGCACAGTATGGCATCTCAGCTGATCATCATGAACTTCATCTAGTTACGTCAGCTAATACAGTAAGTTAAAATAAGCCTTTTTATTGGTATGGGTATACTTCACCAACATCCTTTCCTGCTCACTGAAAGGCAGACATAGGCTATACTCTTCAGTAGCAAACACAACTATTGTTGTGACAATTGGCCTACTTCTCTGAATGTACACTGTGTACAAAACATTAAGGACACCTACTCTTTCCATGACATAGACTGACCAGGTGAATCCAAAGCTATGATCCCTTGTTGATGTCACTTGTTAAATCCACTTCAATCAGTGTTGATGAAGGGGAGGAGACAGGTTAAAGAAGGATTTTTAAGCCTTGAGACAATTGAGACTTGGATTGTGTATGTGTGCCATTCAGAGGGTGAATGGGCAAGACAAAATATTTAAGTGCCTTTAAACAGGGTATGGTAGTAGGTTCTAGGCACACTGGTTTGTGTCAAGAACTGCAATGCTGCTGGGTTTTTTATGCTCAACAGTTTCCCATGTGAATCAAGAATGTCCACCACCCAAAGGACATCCAGCCAACTTTACACAACTGTGGGACGCTTTGGAGTCAACATGGGCCAGCATCCCTGTGGAATGCTTTCGACACCTTGTAGAGTCCATGCCCTGACAAACTGAGGCTGTTCTGAGGGAAAAAGGGGGTGCAACTCAATATTCGGAAGGTGTCCTTAATGTTTTGTACACTCAGTGTATACAGGTGTAGGATCTTTAATTGATCACCCATTTGTTGCAGGCAAACTTGTAGTGTATTTGAGGTTTTAAAAGGATTCTGAAGTTTGTAATTTCCACTTTAAAATGTCTGACTTGATTTGCCCTAACTAAGAATGTATCAACCCTTACAAAAATATCAATTAATTATAATCCACACAATAATTCAGATTTCCTGTTGCTGCAGGAATATTTTTCTGCTGTGAGAAAAATTAAGATCGTACACTCCCCCCCCCACACACACACACACTCTCTCTCTCTCTCTCTCTCTCTCTCTCTCTCTCTCTCATTCACTCACTCACTCACTCACACAATCACCGGCAGGACCATTCACACAGTTCAGTCACTCAGCCCTATCCAGTGGACATGATGCTCTCAAGACCCCGCACTACCGCCTCCTACAACACCCTGATGGGAAGCAATAATCCTGGCCCCATGACTGTAAGTCTGCATATCTCTCTAACCCTGCTGTACCCTACTGTGCTGAGTCAATATGACTCTAGAACAGTTATACACTATTTTAAATGGAATGCTCAACAGTGATTATCTCTCTCTCTCTCGATTAAATTCAAATAGACTTTATTAGCATGGGAAACGACAATCCTCACAGTTCACTTACAGATGGTATGTAAGCTGTTTGATGGCACCTGCAGGCCTGTTTGAGGGACAACTGGACAGAAAATATAATAATTATTGGACATCAGCTGAGACCCTCCTGTCCTTCCCTACA